CACTTATTGCTTGGGTTTTATGTCTGTTTTTAGAAAGTTAAAAACTCCTTGTTCTCAGAGGCTGTGTACTTCTGAAGATAAAGGAAACCAACTGACAAAAAAACCACTCAGGGGTCCATACGCAGCATAGGAAGACACTACACTTCTGGCACTTGACAGCTGTAACAGCACAGGCACTGACCTCTCTGCAGGAGGTAAGAACAGGCCCCTTCTGGACCCAAGAATTTTTGAACATGTATTTTATTGCTCGGTGTTATTTACCCAAAGCTCTGCTTTTTTGAGGAGATGGTCTCTCAAACATGTTTTATTCACTCTCTCACAAAGTTAAGAGATTTCACTCCTCAGAAGGTTTCCTTCTGTACTTTCAGGCAGACATATATGAAATCCCTTTATTAGAACCAAGTACACAGCCCATGGAAAGGAAACAAGCAAAAAGCATTCATGTTACCTTCGCAGTGGCCCTTGTTGTTCTTTTTCCAGCCATAACAGCAATCCAACCTAGAACCATAGTGACACACCCCAGGCTGGCTCACAGTCACCAGCTGCCCACGAGCTCTCGATCTGCATAAAGAAGGACAAACACTAGCTCCAGAAGGCACACATGCTTTAATCCATTGCTCCATATACTCCTTTGTTCATTTCCCTCATGTTTTATCCACTATCAGGCATTTTTATTTCACCAAACCTTGGAGCATTTGACAAGTGTTCCTAGACAGGAATGCAAAGTTGCACTTGGTTGGGAAAAGAGGGGAGATGGGAATGTTTCACCTGCAATAAATTAACTGTGCAACATAAACCCTTTCTAATGAGAAACATAGCAAAGGCAAAAAATACAGCCAGGTCCCCTGCTAGAATGAGTCATTTTTAATATCAGTGAAGCCAGTGGGGCTACTCCAGCTTGTGTCATATGAAGAATCTGGATTGGAAATATGATGTCATACCTGACAGAGCCATTGCTTTGGATGATAAAATACTGATTCTACAGAAAAGCAGCTTTCTGAACATCAGTCAGCCCCATAAAAGCTAGTGACTTGCGGGCTCATAGCCACTGCATATGTGCAGATGGATTGCATAAATGCAGACAGCTCCATGCATTCTGGTTGCACGGGACTCCCAGACCACACAAATTAACGTTAAGGTAATCTGCCAGTAAGTCCAGGGGGTTCAAAGTCACTGTGCAGATCAACAGCTGCAAGAGTTGGAAAACCTGCAATGTTAATTGCCAAAATTACAAATCTGATGGAAATCCACAACTGTGTAAATCTCCTAGACCTACTGTATGCTGCAATGGCTGCTGTGACTCCAGTTCTCTTCTCCCTCTGCTTGCTGTTACTTAAGTTCCCTGTTACCACATGCCTGTCTCCTTTATTAAATTCTCTTATTTATCCAAAATCCTCTGCCTCCACTGCTTTTTCCCACATGATAATTTAAAATGTACTTCCCTTAAAGAGTCCAAAGTGTTCTGACACAAAAAAATACCTTATCTGTGAGAGCTTTGTAGCAAGAGATTTGGGATATTGAGAGGGGCAACACATAGCGACAAACATCCCTGTGGTGGGGAAAAAAAATGGAAAAAAAAGTCATCAGGCTAGGAATCTTTGCAATTTTTAGTCTGATGCACAATAAAGGCATCGCTTTATCACCTTACAGCAGTGCTTTGCACATACCTTCCTGTGCTTATCTGTAAGGGTTGCACCCATATTGGAACAGTTACTGCAAACACCACTAAGGTAAACCAGTAAAACAGATATATGCATCCACTTCAAAGTTGCAAGATGTTACTTCAGAGTTTTCTTTAGTATCAGAACCATTGGAAAGAGAAGGGAGTTCAGAGGAAATGCATAAGCTCATGTATCTGAAATACCCTGAATGAAGAGATGGTTCTCATGTCACCTGGCAAGTAAAAAGACTTGAGCATGGGAAAATGTTCTGGAATCACCCAGCCTTTGCCATCCACTCAGTGATGGAGTTTACAGGACGACATATACTCCATCTTCAGACAGGAGAAAAAGCATATTACACAGCTATGACTCCTGTATGAGTCTAGTAGAAATCAGCACCCTGCCTCTGGTTTTATAGACAATAAAAGAACTCTTTTTCATTTTGCTCATCCAAATGCTGCTGGCTTACATAAATCGCAAGCATACAAGTTAAAGAACACATGCTCTGCTTACATGCTAGAAAGTGCCCTTGAATTCACGTGGATAGTAGATGTATATTCTGCTTATCATCCCAGAAAATCCCCTTGAATGAGCTGGATAGTGCTGTGACTCCCTGGAAGGTTTAAATGCCTAAAGCCTGGAGGAAGTAGGATCACGTTACTTTCCAAAAGGTGTTCATTTCCACAGGAAGAAAAACTCATACAGTAATGTTTTATTTAATAATTAACTTCCAAATCAAATAATGAGTGTCATTACGAAGTATACAATATCTCACAAGATTTCAGTACAAACTTGTCTTAAAACTAAGACATGTTCCATAACACTGCAAATAAAATTAACATATCTGAACTTTGTAGATACTGCCCTGGACAAGGTCTTCCACTTGTTCTGACTTCCACAACAAGCACCAAGTTAGAGCCTACCTTTGGCAGTGGGAAAGGTCAACTAGGCCATTGAGAGCCCACCTGTTTCCCAAAACCTGTGAGGAAAATTCATTTTGCCAGGCTACGCCCTTTGACTCGTGAAGAGCCACCAGCCATCAGCTCAGCTATTGCTGTCAGGAATTTCAGCACTTTGTGCAAAAGAAAGATTATTTATAAAGGGAAGATCCTTTCAGAGAGGCAGATCCTTTCCAGGAGATCCTTTCCATGTCCCATGGACCCTCCTGGATGCTGAGGGAGAAGTAATCTAGACTGCAGATGTAGGACACTCCTGATCCCTCCCTATATGATATTCATGTAGGATTTCACAGCAAAGAAGTTAGAAGTCTGAGTGAGATCTCTGTGCTTGTTGTTGTCCGCTCAATGTGCGAAATATACCTGGTCTTGACGAACCTACAGCCTAAATACATGAGTGAAGAAGAAAGGCAAGACACAGCAGACTGTGTGGGTCACATCGCTGGGCAGGTCAGTGGCAAGAGTGGTCTCCTCATTTCTAGTGTAGAATTCTGTCCTCTGAGAGTCATCAGCTTACAGCACTGATGCTAAAGGTAACAATTGACAGACTGAGCCATCCAGGGTGCCCAGGCAGCAGAGAAGTAACTGATTTTACATGGCTGTGACATTGCTGACACCAGTAGGATGGCATTTAGCAAAGGGCATTGAAGATGAATAACAAGAACTTCTACAATAACCCAGAGCCTCCTTAGCTGAGGTGACAGAAAGGAAGAGCTGGTCGTATTAGCTGTCACAAGATCACTGTGAGCCACTAGCACCACCATAAAATAGGTGGGACTCTCATGTGTTTCAGTTAAAATTCCAGGGAACTTTTACTGATGCCATATCAGGTTGTATTGCATACAGTTCTTAACATCCATGGCGAAGAAATATGAATTATAGATGGTATATATGCTGATAAGGCTACAAAGAATGAAAAACCTGGGTTAGAAAGGATGTGAAGAACTTGGCTTCAGCTGAGCAAACCAAAAGCTGAGAGGGAGATCTGATTGCTTCCTACTACGTCAGGCAGCTCCAAATGAGAGAGGGAGAAGAGCTTTTTAAGAGAAAGGCAAATTTATATCCATTTGCTCTTGTACTACTGTCCATTAATAATCTTGAGGGGGACACAAGTATGAACACAGCCACAAAAGAGGTGAGTCTTGAAGAGCATTGAAGAAGAACCAGGAGAACAACTCCTATATAATTTTAAGATATCTAGTCTCTTTCACAAACTGAGAAAGACCTAATGATGCCTATAATGATACAAACATAGGCATGAATGAAACAACGTCCCATTTACTCAGCTGCTGCTGAAAAAAACTGTTCCTTTCTGGAGTATTAAGAAAATTATGAATTCTATCCCAAAAGAAGTTGGATCAATTCAGAGCAAAGCATTCAGATACTAGCCAGGACCAGGTAAGTATATAACTCTACCTATAGTGGTGTGAGCAGCAGACAGGAAAAACTGGGTGTGTGATGTGAGGACAGACCTTAAACTACACAGTACCTTTGACTTCTTGCAGTGATTTACTTAATTTGATATTTAAAAAAAAAGAAAACTTAGGTATCTACAGCAAAAACATGTTCAGAAAGATCACTTGCTCCACTTGATCAAGTGGCTAGATAGATCTTTCAGTGGAGCAAGGTTGATTGATAGGGTAGGACTGACATTCCCAATAGCTTAAATACACAAACAACTGCAAAGGAAAATATTACAATAACTGGTGAAAGAGGGGGGGATAAAACACATCTGAATGTTGGGACTTGCTTATCCAATAGACTCCCCCCACCACCCCCTACTCCTTTTTTTTGTTGTTTCATTCTATAAAATAAGAAAACATGCATTTTACATTGAATCCCTTTCTCAAAATTAGTTATGGCGTAGGACAAATCCAAGCTACTAAAAATGTCTGTATACCAATCAGTCAAAAATTTCAAACACAACAACTCAGCTGATAGCTGTGCTGGACTGTAATCCTCATTAGCAGCCACTTCACCAGTAACAGTTGAAATAAAGAGAAGTAAAAATCCCAACAGTGAAAAAAGTTACTTGTCATGTACTCCTGACCAGTGACCATGAGCAGTGTAAGCCCTGCCTGAACTCAGTTATGTGACGCTAGCAGCTGCAGAGGATGAGCAAGCGAGTCTTCAAAAGTCTAATTTAACCAGGTAAGTAGATAACAAAAGTCAGGTATGATTTCAGTGAACACAGGTTTTTTTTTGTTTTTTTTTTTTTCATGTCCTATTAATATTCTGCCTTTTACTAAAGTTTTCCCTGGAAAGGAACATATATGAGCTTTTTTTTTTCCCTTGCCTTTTTTTTTTTCCCCTCCTCCTTCAAGACACAGCTGCTGGATAGATTTAGTGCACTGTTTCCATAAGATCCCTACAGGTCACTCTTGGTCAGCTCTTGCACACACAATAGCTGCCTGCTGCTGGGGGGTGGGCAGGAGAAGGCTTCAGTTATATTATTAGCAGCTTCCAGTAAACTTCAAAGACAGGATATTATCTCTTACTTTAATTTTCTTCTAAAAAAAAATCTTGACTTTGTTGCTAGTAAAAAACAACTAGCACCAAATCTAAAATTTTTATCAACTGCTATATTCAGAAAGACAAAAAGATAGTATCTGCCAACTAAGCAATTTGAAAGAAATCCTTAAAAAGTCTGTTACGAGTGTATGTCATGCAGAGATAAATTTGAACACTTTGCCAAATGAAGGCATAGGAGTTTTTTGTGGTGCTAGTTGGTTGGGTTTTGGTTTTGTTTGTATGTTTTTACACAAGTTTATTTGAAGATTGACTTCCTTCTAGAAAAAAGTTCACTTCTAGTCATATTAAATAAAACCAAGTAAGTGTCACCTATTATCTTTTAATGACTGTGTGTTAGATATCCCTTCAGTCAGTTTCAGGCACTCAGCATGACAACAGTGCTCTTTCACTGTGTCCCTCCTAAAA